TTGATTCTCCTGCCACAATCCCCTTTATGATGACACTAGGGGTAAGCGGTGATCGAATAGGCTGGACGAAAACCAAATACACAGAATTAGTACAAAATTCGACATAGACATTCTTGGATAAACATCACATTTAAAAACATGAGTTACCAGTTAAAACCATAGTGAACGTACCTCTTCAAAGTAGGTGAGCTCGCTAAGAAGTCCACCTAAAAGCTGCCTGAGCTTCTCAATTTTTTTTTGAGTGTTTCCACGTACATTTCTCACTTCTCGTGTAATGGAACATAACTGAGCAGTCACCTCTGTTTGACGCACCAAACTTTGCCACAATTTATATCCATCTTCTCCGTTAGCCCCAGGCGGCAGCTGACATCAAAGCAAATATCATTCTCAAGCAGCTAAACAGATCTCATTTGATGTATAAAGCAGCTCAATTCCCTGTATATATAGTTTGAGACGTATTCTTCTCATTCTTGGACAACCACTGCTCCTCTAACTAAAATTCATGACTCGCGTATTCTATTCACTGAAAAACCTGACACTGTTAACCATAACCCACATCCTAAGTTCAAAAGCTTTGATCTCACTATTACAAAGAGAATAAAGCAGGAGGAAATCCATTTACGTATTTATCTTATCTTAAGTGAAATTAAGTGGGGAGTTCAAAGAAAAATAAATATTATGCCCACACCTTGATCATGTTTTCCTCAAGTAACTCATATGTGCTGTAAAACCGCTTGGCATAGACATGGTCATGAAGTTCCACAGCGACATACCAACGGAGAAAACTGGCCAACTCAACATTCTGTAATGCTAGAAATTTGAAAGAAAAATAGCAGAAGTAAGTCAACTAACCAATATATAAACCATTTTACACAGAAAACTCAACATGATTTCATGTCTACATGTTCAGCACATACCCCGTTGGACAAGGAATTGAGAAAGGCTCGACCTATCAGAGCGTTCAAAACGGAGAGCTTGAACCAATTGAAGCAAGTAACACTGAAGCTCTTCATCATCAGCTCTCTCCAATACACTTACAGCATAAGCTCGAACCTATCAGTACGCGTACTGAGAGATTAGTCTATATTTCAATATACCACGAGAGCAAGCAGATCGAGTAGAAGATCAGAAAAAACGTAAATTGGGCAGTATACCTCTTCACTCTCAAATAGAGGAGACAATAGCTCCAAAGCATCACATACATCTATCATTTCCCATTTGTACATCAGTTGAACTGCTTGTTTTGCTTCCTGCCAACATCGGAAGCTCATGCAACTTGAAAAAGTAAGAACCATGAAACCAGATCTACAAGCAAAAGATCTACACTTACCTGAACATCACTCCACTCCACACAGCGAAGAAATTTTGTTAGAGCTCTCTTTTCAGACATTAGAGAGAAACGAAACTTCCAGAGAAGTTGTCTTTCATCTCCACTCAATGTCCTTGTTGGCGGATATTTCAGAACTCTTTGTATGGATCTTCAAAAAAGAAAATTTGGGTAAACAAAAGAAATTACCTACCCATGAGATTATAATTTTATGCGACTCTATTTCATAACACTACAATCAATATTAAGTGACAGGAAACTGTTTCTCTGAAGATACTTACTTCCGCTCGATATTACTCGGCTTGAGATCCCTGTCAATTATGCCACGATCCAAGCTCCTTGCTAGCTTTAGTTGCTTGTTCTCTGAAGGATTAGTCTTTCCCAGTTCTGTATCCCAGACAGTAACAAATTCGTTTGTTGAGCCAATTGGGGCAGTTATAAACAAATTAGCTCCAGACTCCTTGAAATCAAAAGCAGATAGATATAAATCCACTGGTCAATTCACTATTGCAAGACACACATGCAGACATTTATATATTGAAATATATAAGGTCACAGACAGATCTAACTGCAGTAAATATCGCACCTGAAATACAACTCGATGCTCAAAACTACAGAAATCAATAACCACGAAAAGATGTGAGCTTCCATGTTTAAAGCTTTCTTGTTCCTTGATCTTATCCAGGGATTTCAGCATCAGTCGATCCAGCCACTCAATGCTTTGGATCTGCCCCCTCTCATACTTATTCATGAGCTTCTCCAAACGCTCTAGCTCCCCGCGCTCATGCCGTGGAACCTAAAGTATGTAAAGAAAAACCAAGAAAAAGGATGTCGTCATCAAGAACAATAATTCGGACTATACATCAAGACTTGAGATGTATCAGAAACCTTTCCAGGAGTAGAAGTTGGATATGAGCCATCCGCTTCTTTCCCCTGCCAGAGCCTGAGCTTCTGCTTTCCTGATTTCATTTGGCCTTTGCTATTAAATAGAAGGACTGTTGCCCCACCAATCAGTCCCTCCGTTTTACCACATGAAACATCCCATACCTGATATGAACAGAAACTTTCATATGAGCAGAAAAAAGGAAGAAGAAACCAAGAAGGTACCATAAAACAAGCAAAGAGGGGCAGAGATTTGTTTACTGTGATAGCAAGTTGGGAATGGGCAGTCAAGTCCCGATATTTAGAACTTAGAGTAATGAGTTCGTTCCAGCAGTATGGTGGTCCTGTAGTTTTTAATCTGGAATTAAGAAGAGAGCTAGTATGAAAACACTGTACAGCACTTGGACAAGAGTCATCAACATCATCAAAGCAGAAGAAACCTTGTTCTCATGGGAAGACCAAAAGGAGCTCCATCAATATACAATGCACACTCAATGTAAAGCTCCGGTTTTTTCTCCTCTGCGATTGAGACAAATTCTGAAAACACAAACATAAATCAAACAAACTCATCTCAAGAACTAAACCCAATTGACACTAAATTTTGTGTCTTCTCCCAATTCCGACATAAAATTCTAAAATTCCACATACCAATCAACAAAAAAAAGTTGCCACTACACCAAAATCAAGTCCCAAGAGAATCAGAACACGAAAACAAAGAGAAGTCAAATTAGAATAGATTCAAATTCAAGTTCTTTACAATTCAGTTACCCGAATCAGTAGATTTCTTGACGGGGAGGTTTCCATCAAGCTTCTCGATACGAAAAGTGACGGGCGAATTGATATCGCAGGAGAGGAAGAAACGAAACTCGTTCGCACCCATGTGCGAATTTGTCCTAAAGGATCAAAATTTAGGGATTTTCTAATCAGCAGAAGAGTGGGATCAATTGGATTTGGAGAAATTCGAAATCTTGGAAATTCGAATCCGTAAACTCTGTGTTCGACTCGTCCAGAGGAGTACACGACACGACCAGCCTTCTTCGTTCTTGAAATTTATGTCCCAAAATCTTTTAATTAAATATTAATGGAATAAAATTTGCAGTTAAATACATTTTATAAAATTTGTCTACAAAAAAATGTAGTTCAATATTAGAAGTGCTATGTGAACATTCCTACTATTTTTTCTTTGCTATACATAATTCCTCTTGGGGCATTTGCTCTTTTCTACTTTGAAATTGTTTCAAGTCATGCAAATTCTTACATTTTTATTCAGTAACAAAGATAGTACAAGAACCAAACATATAAGTTATGTTATGGTTTTGTGAAACAAAGCTTGAGGTTAACGTTTGAAATGAACGACGACATACTTAAGATGACAATGAAAGTAGCAAGTAAGAAGCATCCGGAGTGGTTTACCATAAGAATTTTTTTGCCTTGTAGATGAAAACATCAACAATGTAGAACCAAACTCTGCTCCACGGAGAATCAAATGATAGTGATGCTAGTCACATAAGCTGCAGTAAAACTCCAATAAAAATACACCATACCGATTGGGGATTCATCAGCTTCCACTTAAATATGTGGATTTCGAGAGTTATTATCGTCGCAGCTTTTGTCGGTTGGTTGTTCACAGAGAAAAGGATTACCTAAGTAGCTTTGTTTATCAAATGTGTTAAATTGCCTTTCATGTGGAATGACTCCTGATAAGTTGTTGTATGAGACTTTAAACACAGCGAGGTTGCTCAGATCTGTTAGTTGTGGTGGGATTCGGCCTTGTAGTCTGTTGAACGAAAGATCAAAGCTTTCCACATTCTTGAGACCTGAAAAGCTTTGTGGTATCACTCCTAATAAGTTGTTATGAGAAAGATTGAGAGCTTGTAGTTCTAGAAGATCTCCAAATTAACTCTGTTGGGATCTCACCACTTAGCTCATTTTCTGAGAGATCCATTCCAAACAATAACTAAAGATGTATGATATATCTATGAGCTTCCCTCTATCAGCTAAGTCTATCGTTATAATTTCAAACGTACCACCTGGAAATATATATCAAGCGTCACCATAGGTAAATTCAGCTAATTGATAGTAGTAAAATATTGAAGAGAGACTTTTTAGCTTCAACTATGTGCTATAGAATAGAGGTGTAAAGTACGGACTTAATTAGGGATTTTTATAGTTAAAACATGCACACGTTACTTACATCCTCTAATCTCAAACGTTTACTTCTTTCGTTTATTTATACTCATACACAAAAAGCCCTTTTATTATCTCTATATATGTACGTCTTTACATATATCTAAAACAAATCTCACTTACCCTCCACTCTTGTCTTGTCTCGAAACGAAATGGTAAGTAGTAAGAAGAAAGTTGTAACTAAAACCCCTCCATCTCTCACGGTTGTCAAAAAAAAGACCCGAGGAAACAAAGATGCTGCTCCTGTTGAAGCACCGATTGTGACTTCGTATAATGATCGGATCAGGCCGTTGCTTGACACTGTGGATAGACTGAGGAACCTGAATGTGATGAAAGAAGGGATACATCTTCCCACCATTGTCGTGGTTGGAGACCAGTCCTCAGGGAAGTCGAGTGTTCTTGAATCCTTGGCAGGGATCAGTTTGCCTCGTGGGCAAGGAATCTGCACTAGGGTTCCTCTCGTTATGAGGCTTCAGCGAAGCTCTAGCACTGAACCTGAGATCTGGCTTGAGTATAGGGATAAAGTGGTTCCTACAGACGAGGAACACATAGCTGAAGCTATTCGTGCTGCAACAAAAGTGATTGCTGGTAAGTTCTCTTTTTTTCTCTCTATCTCCCTCTTAACTGTTAAATGTGTTTCACTGCAAATCTGCAAGAGATGACTGAAAATGAGACATTACATTAATCGTAAGCATGGAAACTCAAAAGGAGTTAATTATATAGTTATCATACGAAACCTGAAATTAGATGCGTATCTAGACCTGTCTACAAGTGCCTACCTGTCTACAAGTGTTTAGAAGTGTTACATGATTCTAGAACTCCTAATTTTTTCTTTATACTCATCTATGTTTTTTTAGCTGCTTACACTAGTTTTGCTATATGATGGAACTTTAAAGTGTTATATGTTAGAGGCTAACAAGTATTGACTATCATTAAGTATTATCTATTATACATGTGTAACAGGATCTGGTAAAGGGGTCTCAGATGCTCCCTTGACCCTTCATGTGAGGAAGGCTGGTGTTCCAGATCTTACCATGGTCGATCTTCCCGGGATAACTCGAGTTCCTGTGAAGGGACAGCCGGAAAATATTTACGAGCAGATTTCTGGGATGATTATGAAGTACATAGAGCCTCAAGAATCGATAATCCTAAATGTTCTGTCAGCTACTGTTGACTTCACCACCTGCGAATCCATTCGAATGTCTAGAAAAGTTGACAAAACGGGTCAACGGACTCTGGCTGTTGTCACAAAGGCAGACATGGCTCCAGAAGGTCTTCTACAGAAAGTAACAGCTGATGATGTGAGTATTGTACTTGGTTATGTCTGCGTCAGAAACCGTGTAGGAGAAGAGTCATATGAAGAAGCAAGGATGCAAGAAGAGTTACTTTTCAGGACCCATCCACTACTGAGCCTGATTGACGAAGACATTGTGGGCATCCCAGTTTTAGCTCAGAAGCTAATGCTTATCCAAGCAAGCATGATCGCCAGATGTTTGCCTGAAATCGTACGCAAGATCAACCAGAAGTTGGAAACTGCTGTCCTTGAGTTGAACAAGTTACCAATGGTAATAGGTTCTACAGGGGAAGCATTAATGACATTAATGGAGATCATTGGTTCTGCTAAAGAATCACTATTGAGAATTCTCGTCCAAGGAGACTTCTCCGAATACCCTGATGATCAAAACATGCATTGTACTGCTCGCTTGGCTGATATGTTAAGCCAATTCTCAGATGATCTGCAAACAAAGCCAAAGGATGCGAGTGAGTTCTTGATGGATGAAATAAAAATCCTAGACGAATGCAAATGTGTTGGACTACCCAATTTCATCCCGAGATCAGCCTTCTTGGCCATCCTTTCACAGCATGTAGATGACATACATGACAAGCCAGTAGAGTTCATCAGGAAGACATGGGACTACATTGAAGTTGTTATCTCCTCCATCATTGCTAAACATTCTGAAAACTTCCCACAGATTCAATCTTCCATCAAACGAGCAGGTCGGACTCTAATCTCCAAGATCAAAGAACAATCCGTGAACAGAGTGATCGAAATCGTCGAGATGGAGAAACTCACAGACTACACATGTAACCCTGAGTACATGACATATTGGACTCACAATAACAGCCAACAAGAGAGCTTCATCAATGCCGTTTTGAAAGATGGGAACAAACCTGACTACTTCTCTGTTACTGGATTCGGGAATGTGAAGATTTCGCATCTACGGAAGCATCACCGTCAATTGCTGCATCCGGCTTTCGATATGAAGATGAGGATCACATCGTACTGGACGATCGTATTGCGGAGGATAGTGGACAACCTTGCGCTGTATCTTCAGCTATCTGTGAAGCATCTCGTGAACAGTCAGTTTCAGAAGGAGATTGTGGCGGAAATGGTTGATCCAAAAGCTGGCGGAGGAGTTGAGAGGATGTTGGAGGAGTCGCCGTTGGTGGCGAGCAAGAGGGAGAAGCTGAAGAACAGTATCAAGCTTCTGAAAGAGTCCAAGGACGCTGTGGCCGCCATTGTTGATCAGAATTGATCGATTTTGTTGAAGCCGGGTCGGGTTATAGAGATGGTTGATTTATTTGGTTGGTGAAGTCGGGTCGAGTTGTTTTAGGGCTTTCTAATGGGTTTTTTTTTTCTAATGTTTCTTTGGAGTTGGGCTTTTTGTGTTTTTGAACCTTCTGATTTTCTCGTTTTATGTTTTCAATCTTTTTTTTTTGGGTATGGTATAACTATTATTAAGCTTGTTTAACGTATTGTATCTCACTGAATTAAGTGAACCTAAAAAAACTAAAAAAAAATGTTGTTTAATTTTAATACGATTTTCGAGTACAAAAACTATACTCCAGGAGTTAATTAAGTATTGGTGTAAATGAATTTGCATTATTTCTTTTAGTTTATGAAGCAAGACAAGAAGACACGAACACTCTTTGTAATTCCAACGGCTATTTAAGTTTTTTTGTTTTCGTCTTTATAATAACCTACGTTACATGGAAACTCTTTTCGAATTGCGTTTCCCGTTTCCGAAACGTTTCAGAAACAGAAACTCTCGGAAACTCGGAAACTACCCATGGAAACACGATTCCTAAAATTTTTCATTTGGAAACTCGATGGAAACTCTCGTTTCCGTTTTTAGATTAAAAAAATATAAAATATAAGATATATATTGTGATTAAAAAAGAAAGATTGTATCTATCTCTAATAAAAAGATGTATAATTTCTATAAATATAAATTATGGTCCTAATCATATGCGGGATGTTGGAGGTGATCAACTTGATTCACTAAATGAGTTTAATCTTGAGAGACTTGAGTCTGAAGATCTTTCTCTAGACGAACCTGATTTAGAGGCTGTTTTATTTGATAAAAATGATAACGGCGATGTTGGTCCAAACATTTGAATTTGAGCGTTTTAGTATTATGTTTTAGAGTTTTGTTTAACTATTTAGTATTTATGTTTTCAAAAATTCTTTTTTTTTTAATATGGATTTTATATTTGGAATTTTAGTATATATATATATAATTATATATACATACGTTTCCAAAACGTTTCCATTCCTTAATTTTCAAAAATTGTCGTTTCCCGTTTCCGAAACGTTTCGTTTCCGCGTATGTGTTTCCGTTTCCATGCAACCTAGATAATAACTCATATTTATGCCAATTTACGAAAATTTCAAGTTTTTTTTCTAACGTTTAAACCCAAAAAAAGAAGGTCAATTTGTGACATGTTTTTCTTCCAAATTGTTATATTTTTAGAATTTTACTTAAAAAATAAAAAAATTACTAGTTCTATCGCAAAGTTAACTCAATAGATTTGTGGAAATATCCTCATAATGTCAGTAACATAGCTAAAAAAAGTATGTTGAAAGTATTAAAAGAATTTGAAGAAAAAGAAAAGAAATGAGTTTGATGGTTAGTTAGTTCTATGAAACTTGTGAAGCAAAAATACGTTTAGAATCTTAACATCAAGCTAGGGACAATGTATTAGCTCTCTTCTCTATGCAGAATTACTTCTTTTGTTCTTACCTAAATAAAACAAGAGAGTTGAGAGAGTAGGAAAACTTCTACTTTAACTTCAATGAGAACACTAGTTCCAAGAGATTATGTTCTGAAACGTTGTCGACATAACTTAAATAATCTGCTACACAAGTCTACAACCATTCGAAATGACCAAGTGTTGAGCCCGATGAACGAAATCTATCGAGTAATTATGAACTAAAGATATATTTATGAGGTTCCCTTTGTTAGCTTAGCCACGCCTTAAGTCATGCATCATAGTTCCAAAATTTGTACATAGACATTCCAAACGTCAACACCGGTGAATTCAGCCAATTGGAGCCAATAAAATATTCAATTTCACACAAAATATAGTAAAGGATTTAAAAGAGACCTTTTAGCTTCAGCTATGAGGCAATAGTAGATAGGTGCAGTTTACTAACTTACTTAGCTTTTTTCAATTCCAACATGCACGCTACTTGCATCCTTTCAAGCGATTTACTTCTTTCCTACGTACATTTCTCTTATACACACAAGCCCTTCTAGTATCTCTCTATATATAGCTTTGCACATCTCTAAGAGGACTCTCACTTACCCTTAAATAAAACTTCTCTTTGCTGTCTCTTATCTCTTCTACTCTTTGTCTTTTCTCAAGAATCAAAATGGGAGTTAGCAAGAAGAATGCTGTCACTAGAAACTCTCCTTCTCTCGCAATTGTTGAAACTAATCCTCATGACAACAAAGAGATGATTCCCATTGAAGCACCCATTGTATCTTCTTACAATGATCGGATCAGGCCTTTGTTGGACACTGTGGACAGGCTAAGGAACCTGAACGTGATGAGAGAAGGGATCCAGCTTCCCACCATTGTCGTGGTTGGTGACCAGTCCTCCGGGAAGTCCAGTGTTCTTGAGTCCCTGGCAGGCATCAGTTTGCCTCGTGGACAAGGAATCTGCACTAGGGTGCCTCTTGTCATGAGACTCCAGAGAAGCTCCAGCCCTGAACCAGAGATTTGTCTTGAGTACAGCGACAAAGTTGTACCTACGGATGAGGAACACATCACTGAAGCCATTTGTGCTGCAACAGATGTCATTGCTGGTAACTTTTCTCTTTCCCTCTCTCTCTCTCAGTTTTCTCCAAACCTTCTAGATAGATTACCTATAATGTGACCTTTAATCTAAAACATGGATGTTAGAAAACAGATGCACTTACCATTCAAGTAGCTTAATAAATGTTCTGATTTTTTTTTGTAAATATACTAGTTTGCTAATTGCTATATGTTGAAACTTCACGGTGTTACTTACTTGCAATACAAGTCCCTAAAATTAGATGTGAATATAAAACTGAGAACAAACAAGTAACCTAGAGGTATATATGATTCTGGAACTCCTAGTTTGGTCTTTACTCATTTAATATTTTTACTGTTCTTTACAATAGTTTTGCTATATGATGGAACTTTATAGTTTTATGTGTGTGAGACTAACCGGTTTTGACTACCTGTGCTGGCTGCAGGATCTGGTAAAGGAGTCTCAGACGCTCCATTGACCCTCCATGTAAAAAAGGCTGGTGTTCCAGATCTTACCATGGTTGATCTTCCAGGTATAACTCGAGTTCCTGTGAATGGCCAGCCGGAGAATATTTATGAGCAGATCTCTGGCATGATCATGAAATATATTGAGCCTCAAGAATCAATAATCCTCAATGTTCTTTCTGCTACTGTTGACTTCACCACCTGTGAATCAATTCGCATGTCAAGACAAGTTGACAAAACCGGAGAACGAACTCTGGCTGTTGTTACAAAGGCTGACATGGCTCCTGAAGGTCTCCTGCAGAAGGTAACAGCAGATGACGTGAGTATTGGGCTAGGCTACGTCTGTGTCAGAAACCGCATAGGAGAAGAGACGTATGAAGAAGCAAGGTTACAAGAAGAGCGACTTTTCAGGACTCATCCAATGCTAAGCTTGATCGATTCAGGACTCATCCAATTCTTGCTCAGAAGCTAATGTTTATCCAAGCCACGATGATTTCCCGCTGTTTGCCTGAGATTGTACGCAAGATTAATCAGAAAATGGAGACTGCTGTCGTGGAGTTGAACAAGCTGCCAATGGTCATGGCTTCTACCGGAGAAGCATTGATGGCATTGATGGACATCATTGGTACTGCTAAAGAGTCTCTGCTAAGAATCCTCGTCCAAGGAGATTTCTCTGAATTCCCGGATGATCAAAACATGCATTGTACAGCTCGCTTGGCTGATATGTTAAGCCAATTCTCAGACAATCTGCAGGCAAAGCCTGAGGACGTGACCGAGTTCTTGATGGAGGAAATCAAGATACTTGACGAATGCAAATGTGTTGGACTGCCCAATTTCATCCCAAGATCTGCCTTCTTGGCTATTCTTTCACAACATGTGGACGGTATACATAACAAGCCAGTTGAGTTCATCAAGGGACTACGTTGAAGTGGTTCTCTCATCCGTGATTGCCAAGTATTCTGAAAACTTTCCCCAGATCCAGTCTTCTATCAAGAGAGCCGGTCGAAACCTAATCACCAAGATTAAGGAAGAATCAGTGGAGCGAGTGATGGAGATAGTTGAGATGGAGAAGCTGACAGATTACACATGTAACCCTGAGTACATGACGTCTTGGACGGAGAAGACAGATTCACAGGAAGACTTCATCCATGCTGTGTTGTACGACAGGAAAAAGCCTGAACACTTCTCTTTAACAGGATTTGGGAATGTGGAGATTTCACATCTGCGAAAGTATCACGCTCATCTGCTGCAGCAGGCCTTTGATATGAAGATGAGGATCACATCGTACTGGACCATCGTCTTGCGGAGGATAGTGGACAACCTTGCTCTGTATCTTCAGCTATCTGTTAAGTATCTGGTCAACAGTCATTTTCAGAAAGAGATCGTGGCGGAAATGGTGGATCCAAGAGCTGGCGGAGGAGTTGAGAGGATGCTGGAAGAGTCGCCGTCGGTGGTGAGCAAAAGAGAGAAGCTGAAGAACAGTATCAAGCTTTTGAAGGAGTCCAAGGATGCTGTGGCTGCTATTGTTGACCAGAACTCTGGGTATGGTGATCGTTAAGCGATTTTGCTTCTTTCACAAGCTTTGGTGACTCGGTAGGGTTATGGAGATCGTTTGATTTGTTTGGTTGGGCTTTTAGGGTTTCTGATGGGTTTCTTTTCGAGTTGGGCCTTTTGTGTTCTATTTCTGAACTTTGTGATTTTCTCGTTTATGTTTTCAATCTTTTGTGAGTGGTAACGATTAAGTTGTTGAGCTTAACATATTTCTTATCTTTTAACTATTTGGAATGAATGTTATGTTTTAAGTTTCTTAAACAAATCCTTTCATTACAGAATTTTATTTGTTTAACCTCAAAATTAAAGGCTAAAATCATAGTGGATTTGTTATTTTTATACGATCTTCGAGAACTATATTACGACTTGTTATAAATTTATTCCGTTTCAATAGAAAGAAGTAGATTATTTTCAATTTCAGTTGTAAGTACCAAGGAAACATTTTTTGAGACTTGAGGACCTATAGTTACTAAAATTCAGATTCCAATGTCATTACCACTAAACTAGACCATAGAACTCGTTGGCACAGATTCACCCAATTACAATATGTATCTCAATTGTTTTTTTTTTTCTTTTTTTCTTTAAGTTAAATGGTTCTTTACTTAGTAGACTAGGAAATGTGGAATATAAAAGTCAATAACTTCGTATGATAGGTTTGCTCGGTATAGTAAAAGGAAAAGAAAAAGAAAAGTGTAACTCCGTACATAATTAAAGTAAAGTTAACACTCTTACAAGAGTTTGATTGGGCTTGTGAGCATAATCAAAAAAACAATATTATTACCATATTCTTGTGCTCAGGAAAAGCTTTTCAAACTTTTTCTACACAAAAGTTATAACACCCACTCTATATATATCTCACCCACCACCAAGAGCTCTTCACTCACTTAAACCTTTAAGTCTTTATCTTTCTCTTACTTTCTCTGTCTTTTTTTTCTAGTCTCAAGCAAAAAATAATGGGAGGCAGTAAGATGCCAAATGATTATGAAATTAACGTGGAAGGTGGTGGGATGATGTCTTCTCTTTCAATAGCCAACACAAAGCATGTCTCTAATGAAGCACCAATTGTGTCATCTTACAATGACCGGATCAGGCCATTGCTTGACACCGTCGACAGGCTGAGGAACCTGAATGTGATGAAAGAAGGGATTCAGCTTCCTACCATTGTTGTGGTTGGAGACCAGTCATCGGGGAAGTCGAGTGTTCTTGAGTCTTTGGCAGGAATCAGTTTGCCTCGTGGACAAGGAATCTGTACTAGGGTTCCTCTTGTGATGAGACTCCAAAGAAGTACTTGTCCTGAACCTGAGATATGGCTTGAGTTCAATGACAAAAGGGTTGATACTGACGAGGAGCATATCGCTGAAGCTATTAGCATCACAACTGAGGCAATTGCTGGTAACTTCTGACTTTCTCTTTATCACATTTTATTTAAAGTATTTTAAATGATATAAACCTAACATGAAACTAAGTATAATTAGAGCATATATGTGTTATTCAAGTAATCTGAACTTTCATACTGCAACATATTTAGCATATTTGATACTAATAAATATGTTTCTGGGAATTGTAAATATGTATCTATGTTGCAGGATCTGGTAAAGGGGTTTCAGACACTCCCTTAACACTCCATGTGAAGAAGGCTGGTGTTCCTGATCTTACCATGGTTGATCTCCCTGGGATAACTCGAGTTCCGGTAAACGGACAGCCTGAAAACATCTATGAACAGATCTCCGGGATGATTATGAAGTACATCGAGCCACAAGAATCCATCATCCTCAATGTTCTATCAGCTACAGTCGACTTCACCACCTGTGAATCCATCCGTATGTCTCGACAAGTCGACAAAACAGGGGAACGGACTCTGGCTGTGGTAACAAAAGCCGACATGGCTCCTGAAGGTCTCTTAGAGAAAGTTATGGCAGATGATGTGAGTATCGGACTAGGCTATGTCTGTGTAAGGAACCGGGTAGGTGATGAGACATATCAAGAAGCTAGGATGCAAGAAGAAATACTTTTCAAGACTCATCCACTGCTTTCCATGATGGACCATGACATTGTGGGCATCCCGGTTTTAGCTAAAAAATTGATGCAGATCCAGGGAACAATGATTGCCCGTTGCTTGCCCGACATAGTACAGAAGATCAAAGAGAAGATGGAAGTAAGTTACATTGAGTTGAATAAGCTGCCAATGGTAATGACTTCAACTCAAGAAGCTTTGATGACTTTCATGAACATCATTGGTTCTGCCAAGGAGTGTCTCCAAAGGATTCTTGTACAAGGAGACTTCATCGACTATCAAGATGATCAAACCATGCACTCTACTGCTCGTTTGGCTGACATGTTGGGCCAATTCTCAGACAATCTACAAGCACAGCCAGTAACAGAGGAGTTCTTGATGGATGAAATCAAAGTGCTAGAAGAGTGTAAGACAATCGGACTGCCTAATTTCATCCCAAGATCTGCGTTCCTAGCTATTCTCTCACAACGTATCGATGCAATCCATACTAAGCCGGTCGAGTTCATCACAGAAACATGGGGCTACATTGAAGACGTTATAATATCTGTTCTTACCAAATACTATGAAAATTTCCCACAGATTCAATCCTCAATCAAACGAGCCGGTCGGAATCTAATCACCAAGATCAAGGAACAGTCTGTGAACAGAGTAATCGAAATCGTCGAGATGGAGAAACTAACGGATTACACATGTTGTCCTGAGTACATGACAGATTACACACAGAAGATTGCTGCACAAAAAGACTTCATCTATACTGTAGTAAACAATTATTCGAACGTCCACTCATTAACTGGATATGGATTCGGGGAGGTTACGATCTCGCATCTTCGGAAGTATGACGCACAGCTGCTTAGGCAAGCGTTCGACATGAAGGTTAGAATCACAGCTTACTGGACTATCGTTGTACGCAGGATTGTGGATAACCTTGCACTCTACCTTCAGTTCTCTGTTAAGAATCTTGTGAACAATCAATTTCATAAAGAGATCGTTGCGGAATTGGTGAGTCCTGGAGGTGGAGGAGAAGTTGAGAAGATGCTGGAGGAGTCTCCATCGATGACGAGCAAGAGGGAGAAGCTGAAGAACAGTATTAAGGTCTTGAAGGAGTCCAAAGAAGCAGTTGCCGCCATTGTTGATCAAAATTCTGGTTAGAGAGATTGTTAAGCGATTGCTTCTTGGTGAAGGAAGATCCTGTTTTTAGGGTTTTACAACTCTGTTTTTAATTTGTACGCTTTAACGTGTATTGTTTTTTTTTTTTCATCCTGTCGTGTATGCTGTGTTCCTTGTTTAATAAATTAACTAGGTTCGGACCCGCGATGTAGCGCGGGGGAAATACTTATATATATATATATATAACCTTTAACGGATTTGAATATGTTACATTTTAATTTTATTGCAATCCAATCAATTACGATGAATCATATATTTGTAATTTGTATAATAAGTTTAAATAAAATAATAAAAGAAAAAGTGAGTAAATAATTATATATTGAGTTTTGATACAACTAAAACACGGTGAAAATTCAACAGCACGAAATAATATTTGTCGATAAAATATTCATTTTGATCATTTTGTAGTAGAAGTAGGAATATACGTAAAAATTACATATTACAATAAAAATTTTGAATGACCAACCTATAACAGAATTCATTTCGTAAAAAACCTTATTCATAACTCGCTTTATAATTATAACTGTGATTTTAACAAACTACCCGTGAACTACCTAAATTTTAAATAGTTTGATATATAATAGATTTTATCAGTAAAAATGATGTCTCCAAAATTACATTTATGTCTTAAATTTTTTTTTTCAATATTTTAAATTCTAAATTTTTTAATATATTTAAACCTTTTAATCATAATATTTTGAAACTTTTTAAAATTTTAAATATGCTCATGTAACAATGGTTTTAATATTGGTCATACTAATAATGATTTTAAACCATTGTCCAAAATATTTAATCGAGTGTAGTTGAGTATTATATGTCCGTTTTAAAAAATTCAAATTGCAGTATATGCAAAAAAAGTTAATTTTTTTATTAAATATTTATATTATATTGTACAATATCATTAATTAAAAATAAGATCAAATAAAAGTGAAAGAAGAATAATTATTATTTTAATAGATTATATTAAATTAGTTAGAGAAATATTTGGAAATCCTATAATTAGTTATGGAAATAATACAATTCTATAATTAGATATGGAAAGTATCCGATGTATGTATCCAAACCCAATTTAATATCCACTTTTGAAGTATCCAATTGTTGAAATCGGGTTAATTTTTTAATTTTGACCCGACCCGTATTTTATTTTGTACTTCTCTTTTACTAATATAGAGATGCTTTAATAAAATTTTATAAGTTAAAAACACACATTCAATGCTTTTGTTAATTTGGTAAAATAATAAAAGGTAAAATCAAATTAAAATATTTTTTCGAATTAAATTCTTTGAAGTCGTTGACAGCTAAAACAAAATTGAAAGATAGAGAGATAATACATGAAAATAATAATTTAACATTTACTATCTATTGTGCTAAAAACCATGAACGACTTTCAAACGTCTACTTCGTAAATGTTAGAAAAAAGAAACCAAACGTCACCAAAAACCACTATATATATGTCACCACATCAACGAGAGTCTCTTACACCAAAAACGCATCTTCTCTGTTTCTATCTTTTTTTTCCTTCTTTCTCGAACTATTTTATCAAATCTCAAGCAAAAAATGGAAGGCAGTAAGATCCCCAATGTTGATGAGCCTAATGTCGAAGCTGAGTTGGCCCCTCCTTCTTTAGCCAACGAGCATCCTAATGTCGAAACTGAGTTGGCTCCTCCTTCTTTAGCCAACGAGCATCCTAATGTCGAAGCTGAGTTGGCCCCTCCTTCTTTAGCCAACGAGCATCCTAATGTCGAAGCTGAGTTGGCTCCTCCTTCTTTAGCCAACGAGCATCCTAATGTCGAAGCTGAGTTGGCTCCTCCTTCTTTAGCCAACGAGCATGATGAGCCATCTGAAGTCCTTAACATCGTAGACGGGCTCAGCAACTTGAACCTGGGGAAAGAAGAGATCCAGCTTCCGACCATAGTCTTGGTCGGAGACCACGGTTATGGGATGTCTAGTGTTCTCGAGTCCTTGGCAAGAATCGGTTTGCCTCGTGGGCAAGGACAAAGCACTAGGTTTCCTCTAGTGGTGAAGCTTCAGAAAAGCTCTAACCCTGTCCCAGATATTTGCCTTGAGTATAAAGGAAAACTTGTTCCTACAGATGAGGATCACATAGCTGAGGCAATTGGTACTGCTACTGATGAAATCGCTGGTATGCTCTGCATTTATTTCTATGTCTCTCTTTTAGTTGCTGTAAACCTGCAAGAGATACTAGTGAGATCGAGACACTGAATATGAAACTTATATAGTTCATTTACTTACCACTCCCTGAAGTTATTGATTATGATTAGTATCTAATAATTTATTATTGCAGGATCTGGTAAAGGTGTATCAGACACTCCCTTAACTCTTCATGTTAAGAAGGCAGATGTTCCTGATCTTACGTTGGTTGATCTCCCTGGGATAACCCGGGTTCCTGTGGATGGACAGCCTAAAAACATCTCTACAAAGATCTCCAAGATGATTATGAAGTTCATCAAGCCAGAAGAATCCATCATCCTCAATGTTCTGCCAGCGTCAGTTGATTTCACAACCAGTGAGTCCATAAGTATGTCTAAGAAAGTCGACAAAAATGGGGAAAGGACTTTGGCTGTGGTCCCTAAGTCTGACATGTCTCCTGAAGGGCTCCTGCAGAAACTTACTGCGGATGATGTGAGCATTGGAGTTGGCTATGTTTGTGTTAGAAACCGGATAGGAGAGGAAACATTTGAAGAAGCTCGCAAGGAAGAAGAGATACTTTTCAGTACCCATCCAATGCTTTCCGTGATTGACAAGGATATCGTAGGCATTCCTGCTTTAGCTAACAAGCTGAAGCAGATCCAGGAAGCGATGATATCCCGACAAGCTGCAAAACCACCCCAATACAAATCAACCCGGCTGCGAATTCCAAGCCGCAGATACTCGCCTGATTCCTACATACTCACATAACTCCTACAATCAAGTAGTTATGCTATTTGTTGAGGAGCCATCTCTTTCACATCTCCATATTCTTGTAGGAGTTGAGGCTCCATCTCTCTTCTGTTCACCTATTTAAATAAATGAAAAGCCAATAATACAATCTTATTTAATTGCCACATCAAGTGTTGTTTGAGTTTTATGCTCTTGACTTCAACTAGCAGATATGGGACTACGTTGAAGTTGTTCTTTATTTACCAAATGTTCTGAACACTTTCCTGTCAGATCCAATCTTCCGGTCGTAATCTAAATCTGCAAGACAAAGGAACAATCTGTAATCAGATTAATTGAGATTGTTTTGATATCTGGAGAAGATGAATGATTCACACATGTAAACCATATTACATGACATCTTTTACTCAGAAAACTGCTTCACAGCACTTCCATCAGTTCTGTGTTGCACCGTATATTGGATATGGTTTTGGGGTTGTTACGGTTTCGTATCTTCTGAAGTATGACCGCGCAGTTGCTTAGTCAAGCGTTTCTGAACGTCGTCGTACGAAGCATTGTGTATAATTTTGCTTTCTACCTTTAATTCTCTGTGAAGCATCTAGTGAGGGAGATCTCCCAGAGAAGCTTAAGAACACTATTAAGCTCTTGAAGGAGTTTAAGGACGCTTTGGGCCATCTCTGATCAGAGTTTTAGGTACTGAGATGGTAAAGCAATTGCTTCTTGATGAAGAAAGGTCGTGTTTCTAGGGTTTGCTAATGTTTCTTTTTCAAAATTTGGGGACTTTTGTGATCTCTTTCTCTTTTCGCTTATGTGCTAAAACTGTTTTTTTTTTTTTTTGTACGCTTAAATTGGTTGGCAATTTAAAACAGAGATCTAATCTCTACATGTTTTAATCTTTGTGACAAATTAATGAAGCTTGTTTGCTCCTGAGTTAACTATCATGTTAAGTAAATTAAGATGATGTTCTAACAATGTATATTAGCTTTGGGTCTTTTTTCTTTCTGGCTTCAATTGTTAAATTTTATACCAAATAATGAACTGATACATACTAAAGCTTAAAATTAAGCTCTCTAGCTGTCGGAGAGATACAAAAGATATATTACAACGGATGGGAGATACAACTAAATTAAAGTAAGATTCATGTAAAGATGGGGAAAAAAGCAACAAACGTTAATGGAAATCACAGTAGGTTTCAATAATTGATTTAACATCCACTAGAAAAAACAAGGTCAACAAACATTACATAAAACCATGTCAACAAACATATCTGGAAAGTATTATTACAGTAACTGTAGGAAAGGTAAACTGAAGTTATAAGAGACAATATAATGTAAGCATGCATAACAACATTACAGTAGTGTCTCCTTGGAGTACTTTTGCTTTTCTTGATGATGTTACTCACGCCCAGTTACAAGAATTTTCCTCAAGGCAGTACAGTTTTCCCTAAAATATGATACAAGTACCTTTTTACTTGGTGTCTGTGGTGTCTTCAGATGAAGAGAGTGGAGAGAGGATAAGACACATTGAGGCACTGGTGAAAGTTCAATCTCCTCTATCTCTGGTATGTGGTCAAGTTCCTAATATTCATATAAACAAATTAAAACTATATATATGCTGAAAAGTTCTATATATTGGTATATGAATGTCAATGTAATAACATGAACAAAAAGGCAAATGAAACGCACCAGAATCAGCGAGTTTAGGTTCGTGCAGCATCCCAGAAAGGCTGCTAAATATTCCCAAGAAGATTCGATTAGCAAAACTTCCAATCGAGACAAATTATGAAATTTGGGCAACGTTGTCACCTCGGAGTATTCATGGATGACCTGTGTATAGCAAGAAAGAATGTAACAATGTTAGAAATGAAATTGTATACAATCTTATATTAAAGTGCATAATCACTTAGACGTATACATGTAATGTTCGGGCAGAGATTGTCAGTTCTTGAAACTTGGATATCCCAATAAGGAAGTTGCAGATCTTCATAACATCCAAATACTCGTAAAGGTCAACGTCCTCAAACACAATATCGACGTCTGCTTCTGCTGAGAGACCAATATTGCTTATGATAAAGCCCTCAGGCTGGAAATCACTGATACTCATATACTCGAGTCTCGGAGCATCGATTACAACATCGGGATCTCGTTCTTCTTCCTTGGGACGCTCTGACATCAATGTGAAGGTTTTCAGTGACTGCGACTGAACACACACAAGTTCAAGATCATCTTGATAATGCGTAACCACTGTTAACTCCTCAAGAACCGGACAGCTTGATATGAGATTCTTGAAAACGTCACCGCCATCAAACTTGACCCCCTCCAGTTGCATAATCTTGACACGAGGTAACGAGACCGATTCAGCTCCTGGATCATCGAAGACAACAGTGTAGAGATTCAAGTCCACCAATGTGGAGCTTGAATAGAGGGAGAGAGGCATCCTAACTAAGGCTGCATCATTACTGACCATGTTGATAAGAGTGAGATGAGAGACTCCACGCCTAACCACTTCGTCTAACGTAGACACAAAAGGCTCATGAGAGTGCCCATTAACAACATCATAGACCAACTTGAACGTGTCCAACTTTAAAGAAGGCGGCTTAGAATCCAAGAAGTAATCTATGAAGTCGAGCAACTCGAAATTAGTATCTATGAAGTCACTGAAATGCAAATCCAAAACAGGAACTTCTGACCAGAGATTCTCCCAACGGCGATTGAAATAACTAGTGCCAACGGACTCCTTGGTAGAGAGATGAGTGAGGATCCGAACTAACACATCACATGGCAGGTCGCTTATCCTATCTCTGCCCACGTTGGTTTTGATACGCTTCTTGTTCCTTACAGATGTGTTTAGAGACGTCCTCAACATAGCCTCGACCTCCTCGAAACCCTAAATTTCACACAAAGCTACAAATGTTACTTTACTATTAGTATTACGGTATTAGTCACCGTTCAAAGTACCAAAAATTAGGGCAGAGAGAGGGAGAGACAAGAGGAGCAGAGATTAGTGAAGAGATTAGGACAGAGGTTAGGGTAGAGATTAAAGTAGAGATTACAGCTGAGATTAGAGCAAGACACAGAGAGAGAGGAGAAATGAAGAAGAACCTTGAAAGCGAAAGAGAGTTGAACCCTTGAGTTAGCACTTAGCAGGCAGTGATCTTGTTCCTAGATTTTGTGATCTTGTGGCTAAAATTTTGTGTTTTCTTTGACAGTCTTCTTGAGGGATTACAAAAGTCCACAAAGACACGTGGGTGTCGTGACCATTCAAATTTCAATCTTTTGTTGACTAATTTTGGGTATTTCATTTAAAAGTAATTTTTTTTTCTTTACTATAAATGATTGACTATATCTTATCTGTCTTTCATTTTCTACTTTTGTAATTAATATGGTCCAAATATTTATGTTTTTAACATAAATTTTCCAATATAAATAGTAAAAAGATAATTTATATAAACACATCATATTTTTATCACAAAAATAAACACATCATATTTTCATAATATAGCATAATATTTTTAATTATTTATAATTAATTTTTAAACTTACTTTAGTTAACAATTAACTAGATACTTATAAAGCAAAATATAAGTAAATTGTAAGAACTTTGTAAGTGAATTTATGGATATAAACAATAGAAAACTAATAATTTTTTATTTTAAAATTTCCAAAATTTAAATACTAAACATTATTACATATGTTTATACTTTGTAAAAATATTGTTCAATCTTCTTCGTTTAAATTGTCAATGTTCATATATAAACCGTAAACCCTTTGTTGAGTAAATAACTAAGGCCATGAATGGATGCTGTTTTTCAATTTAGTTTTTGGATTTGGTTTTTAGTTTTTGATTTATAGATTTTAGTTTTATATTTTTTTATTAGCTTTTTGTATTCAAAATCCTAAAAATAAGGTTTTTGGTTTTTGAAAAATAACGTATAAAAACTAAAAACTAGATTCCCTAAATTTTAGGAGCCTTAAAAATCTAAACTCATGAATGTAAGATTACAACAAAATAGTTTTACTAAATTTTAGGGAATCCAAAATTTTAAAATCTTGATTGTTTGAAAATTATTATTTCAAAAAAAAAAAAAAATCTCTTCCAAATCTACAAAACATTCAAGGCCTAAATTTTCAATGTTCATTTATTTTTTTTTCTTTAATAGTAAAACTTTTCCATTTTACTTTTTAACGATATTAATTTTATTTAAATCCTTCACCAAATATATATAAGAGCATCTCCAGCGGCCGCCTGAGAGATGGTATCTCAAAAAAAAAGAAGTTAAAATAATAATAAAGCATGAGTGAGAAGCAGAAACGTCTCTCATTTGAGGAGAGTTTCTGCCACATGTCTTTAATAGATTGGTTGTAATATCTTTTTATCTTTTAAAATTTTAATTAAATAAATTATTTAACACAAATGATTATAATATTATTTTTGAGAAACTGTGAGGGTATCACACCGTTAAAGATGCTCTAAGACCATTTACAGCGGTCATTTTTTATAAGTTACTCTTTATTAAAATAATAATAAATTTGAAGAAAAATATGAGGAACATTGCTTATTTAAGCTATTTAGGAAACGTTGCCTAAATATTTGTCAATTATTTATTGGTTCACTTATTAAAAAAAATAATAATTAAAATATAATTATTTAATTAATGTTTGAGGAACGGAGATTGTGTCAAGAATTCCCTATTTGATAGAAACGAAAACGAAGTTACTTGTATATATGATCCATTTTTCAAAGATGAATCCATTTACTTGAAGTGTCCACTTCGACACTAAAGGCGCATCCAAATTTTTAATTGTTAGGCTACGAATGGTAACCATACCACACTTCAAAACCGCACCGCAACAATGCTGTAACAGTGTCAAAATATTTGCATATACATATATATCTATGTATTTTTGTTATTATTTGAACCAAACCACATTTCTTCTGCAGTGAAAAACATAGTGAAAAACATAGTTCCCATTCGAAGCCTTAGTTCAATGATGAAATCTGCAAGAACTAGCTACTTAATTAGCACAAATATACATGTAATATTTTTTAATAATAAGAAAAACTGTCTTGGCAGTTGGTAGTGTGTATGCGGATTTTTCTAATCATAATATGTAATTTCAAAAATTGTATCAAAAACGATTAGGGAAAAGGCTCAGAACTCAGAAGGTCAAGGATGGAACTGAAAAAAAGAAAAAACGATCTCAACAACAAAGAACCAATCTCTTAAAAACGATTCTGATCAACAATGGCGGCCACAGCTTCCTTGGCCTCCTTCAAGAGCTTGATACTATTCCTCAGCGTCTCTCTCTTACTCGCCACCAACGGAGACTCCTCAAGCATCTTCTCAACTTCTCCTGTATTCATCAATACCTCGGCAATCTCCTTCTGATATTGATTGTTCACAAGATGCTTCACAGAGAACTGAACGTACAGTCAGTGGCGGATGCAGAGGTCATTTTTGCATGGGGCACAATCTAAAGAATTTGGAATTTTTTTTGCTAATTGTAACAGATATGCTACAACACTTAACTAAAACTATAAGGATTATGAAAATGAGTATGGGGCACTTGCCCCACCCCTCATATCAAACGCCTTAATATCAAACGCCTGTTGCAGTAATTCTTCGTGATACTTCCTTAGATGCGTAATATGAACGTTTCCGAGTCCAGTAAACGCGAAGAGAAGTTGGTTCGAGTTCTTTACGGCATCGATGAAGCTTCCTTGCGCAGCAATCTTCTGTGTGTAAAGTTTCATGTACTCAGGGTTACATGTGTAATCCGTCTGTTTCTCCATCTCCACTATTTCGATGACTCTGTTCACTGATTGTTCCTTGATCTTGGAGATAAGATTGTGACCAACTCTTTTGATTGTGGATTTGATCTCGGGGTGGTGTTCAGAGTATTTGGTAAGAACAGACGAAAGAACGCCTTGTACGTAGTCCCATACCTCTTTGATGAACTCGACCGGCTTAGTATGAATAGCATAAATGCGTTGTGAAAGAATGGCTAAGAAGGCAGATCTTCGGATGAAGTTAGGCAATGTGATAGATTTGCACTTTTTTACCACTTTGATTTCATCCATCAAGAACTCATCTGTGGCGGGCTTGGGCTGAGATTGAAGATCATTCGAGAATTGGCTTAACATATCAGCCAAATGAGCAGTAGCGTGCATGTTTGAATCATCTGGAAACTCCAAGAAATCTCCGTCGACAAGAATTTTCACGAGAGATTCCTTAGTTGTCATAATGATATTAGTGAAAGTGATCAAAGCGTCTCCTGAAGAAGTCATTTTGAAGTTACTCTCTCCAGGAGACCTTCAGGAGCCTTGTCTACCTTTGTCACAACAGCCAGAGTTAGTTCCCCATTTTTGTCAACTTTCCTAGACATACAGATGGACTCACAGTTTGTAAAGTCGCTTGTAGCTGGCAGAACATTGAGGATGATGGTTTCAAGTGGCTCGATTTGCTTCATAACCATCGCTGCTATCTGGTCATAGATGTTTTCTGGCTGCCCATTCACGGGCACACGAGTTATCCCAGGGAGATCAATCATGGTAATATCAGGAACACCAGCCTTCTTCACATGTAGCGTCAGGGGAGTGTCTGAAACACCTTTACCAGTTCCTGCAACATAACCATTCACAATTACTCATTATTTTAATCATAAGTGAGAATCAATCCATTTGCTAGTAAGAAACATTCATAGTTTTTTTTCTTTCTGGTTTAATATGAACATCAATAGTTACAGCATGAAAAAACAGATTTCTCAGTTAGGAATTCCAAAAGCAAACAACTACAGAGGCTCAGATATATACGTTTAGGTTTTTGCTTTCAATATGCATAGATTCTCATTTGGAGAGTCTATCTTGCTGGTTTATATCAGATACTATATTTAGTACTGTGATAAAGAGAAAGTGAGAAGTTACCTGCGATAGCATCAGTTGCTTTACTTATAGCTTCAGAGATATGGTCCTCATCAGTAATAGTAATTGTTTCGTTATTAAACTTGAGCAAGATCTCAGGTACATGGCTAGTACTATTTTCGAGTCTCATCACAAGGGGAACCCTAGTGCATATATTTTGCCCACGAGGCAAGCTGATTCCGGCCAAGGACTCTAAGACACTAGACTTTCCAGACGACTGGTCTCCAACCACAACAATGGTGGGAAGGTGGATGCCTTCACTCATCACATTTAGGCTCCTAAGCTTGTCGATAGTGTTTAGCAACGGCCTGATCTGGTCACTGTAAGCAGAGACAATTGGCGCAGCATTGGTCTGGACATGGTTGTTGTCGGTTGTGTTGACAATAGCAAGAGAAGACATCCCAGCTTCGAGGTTTGATTCATACACTTCACATCTTACTGCCTCGTATTTTTGCTCTAGAGAAAGGAAACAAAAGAAAGAAGACGGAAGGAGAGAAGTTTTTTTGGTGAGTGAGATTCTTCTTTGTTGATGAGAGTCGTAGATACATATGAGAAGAGTCGTAAACACCAAACGTACATAGGAGAGTGGCTCATGGTGACGTTTTGGTGTTTTAAGAAGAAGTTTGAACGTTGTGTATGGCTTTCAGTAAAAGAGATCGTAAACTCTTAACTTTCATGTGTGTGGTATATGTAAAGATTATACCATTTGCGCTCTCACACCTTTTGGAAAGTTGAAAGAGTCTTAAGCACATATAAATTCTCCATATTTTAATTAAAGCTTAATAACATTCAAACTATATACAGTAACATTAATTTGGGATGAAAGTGTTTATTTTTGTTTTAAAATGAGATTCATGAGATATAGTGGGATGAAAGTGTTTATTTTTTTGTTTTAAAATGAGATAGGATTCAAGTTTTGGGCACAGACTTGCTATCTATAGTAATTCAAAGTAATTGTTGCATTTTTACAATCTCAAGACCTATGACATTTTCTATGGTGATTTATCTAGGATTTACAAAAGCTTGTTATCTCCGCAGGTTTACCAACAACATTGCTCGATCGAGCGAAGGATGAAGAAGTGAACCATTTCTTTTCGAAGAAACTTAGAACTTGAGAGTTCATAACTTGACATGAGAGTTCATTTCAAACGGTAAATACAACATAACGTAGCGTTCTAAAGCGATAAAAGAAAATAAACATAGGCCAGAAAATTCAAAAAGTTCTACAAAAGGCCCAA